ATACATGAAATTGATTTTCAAACCTACAACAATGTGTGATGAAAATCTCTAACATTTCGATTGTTTCAAGTCATCTTCAATTAGTTGCTGTTGTTTTTTCACCCAGGAACCACTCATGTGTTGTTTAAATGGTATTGATAGAAATTATTTATAGTTATGCTCTATATTAGATATGTATATGCAAAATGTGTGTTATATGCAAACTTTGTTTCAATCTATAAATAATTCCTTACCTGGAGCATGTATTTCCTTGTTTAGTACACCTTAAAAAAAACTTTTGTCTTACTCAAGGGCAAACAAAGCAATGTGTTTAGAAATGAATGACAATTTTGAACCAGGACGTTACTCTTTTTAATGAAATGAGTATTTTGGTTTGAATATCAATAATCCCTAACAGTCAAACTACACTGATTTTATAATAACAGTCAACATTAGGATTTGGCTGTACGCACTCTAGTTGTTCATTCATTATTTCATATTATCTCGTTTTAACAGCCTGTATGTCTAGAGAAAAGAACAGTTAGTTTGTTGAGGACAACTTCACCAGCTGAAAAATTGTCTAAGAAATAAAATTTTTTAAATTTCATTTTTGATTTGTGAGGGGCTTTTTTTCCACTGAATATGTTTCAAAATAAATGATCTTACTGTGTGGCCGGGATGGCTCAAATTTTCTTGCTCTTGTATTATCAATAGGCTCTGGTAAAAAATAAATTTACATTTAGACATGCAGACTAGTTGTACTTAAGATGCAGAAAAAAATTGTAGCAACATGACACGTGATACATATGATACCGTCCAGTGTTATTTATGATTGTTGACTTCCATAAGCATACGTGTTAACTAATTTTCTATGTCTAGTATTTTGTTCATAAACCATTTACAGCTCTTTTGTGTCAATTACATGGTCTTCGTGTTTTTATTAAAGTTAGTTTTGTTTCCATAAACAATAACAAAAGACATGATTATGTCCTTGGCTAGGCTCCAACAGCGGCTACTTTGCGCATAGATTAATTAGAGTGCTTGAAACGTAGAAAATGGTTGGCAAAGAGTTGATACCTGGTAGTATTTGGGCAAGGTTGTTGAGCTGAAGAGGATTAAGCAACCGCTGACCTCCCGCTGTTTTTATAAGTTGTGGTTTTATTGGCAAGTTGAACTGTGGTGCTAAAATACAAAGTTTATTTGTAAGAAATAAAGTAAGAAATAGTTTCTAGTTTATTTCTTAAGGACAATTTAAAAGGGAAACTCCACTCTTTTAACAAGTAGCGCTCAAAATGTTCCAAATGTTCTTCTAAATAGATTCTTCAGACGACAAAAATATAGCATCGACAAGAGTGAAACACTACACCACAAGTACACCAAGCAATAGTACAACTCATCAGCGCAAAGTGCATTGCGCACTATTCATGTGGCTAGGCTTAGCCACAAGTTGCTCGGCAAGTTTTCGGCAACTTTTGAGATTTTCGGGAACTTTTTAGAATTTTGGAAACTTTTAGACTTTTCAGAAACTTTGAGCTTTTTGAGGTTCTTTGAAGCCACTTTCTTTACGTTTTGAGCCACATTGGTCAGTTTTCGATAGACATTTATTCAATTTATTCTAAAATACAATAATTAGAGCCCCCCCCATGGGTTGATTTTTGTGATGCCTTATAACGAGGTGAGCGGTATCACGTTGCACGTTTTTCAAGATGGCGGACAATTACAGTGACTATTTGTTGATCAAGTGAAATGGAAAGAACCTCTGATATTATCATTGGACTTTGACAAATAAAATTTTGATAAGAAGCAATGTGCGAGTTTTTAATCTTTAACACCCAAAAAAGGTACGAAAAGCAGAAACATTTTGGCAACTTTTTGGAAATTCAGCAACTTTTCGGCAACTTTTTGGAAACTTTTAGAAACTTTTATCGGCAACCGTTTTGGGATTCATCGGCAACTTGTGGCTAGGCCTACATGTGGCGGCCGCGGGAAATTGGAAGTGGCTGTAAGACCCTTCTTTGGGAAACGATACAAAAATCAGATCGCTTGGTAAGGCAATCTTTTTATTCCACCAGATATATTGAGAACTACATTTGGAACATTTTGAGCGCTATTTATTAAAAGAGTGGAGTTTACCTTACAAAAATAAAAATCTTTTGACTTTGATTGAAAGGTTGCCGAGTGTCATCATAACAATTCTTCTTTGACTGTATTAGATGACCTAACTGGCAAGAAAGAATCAGGCATAATCAGCTGTAATTATTCAGTTGAGGACAGTGACCGTTGACGAACCGAATCAATAGAAAAAGTTATCATCTAAGGTTATTGACTATAGTGATACTTTTTATCTCATCAAAGTATGTTAGACTCACCTGTAGTTTGGTTAGGTGTGATATCAGCTGCTTCTATAAACAAAAAAACAAAGCCAGAAGACCATGCGATAAGAAAAGTTCTTCTCTTGATATCACGTATAAAAACAATTTGCTGGTGAAAACGTACATTATATAGCCAACGAATTTCCGTCGGTATCAAGGCTTAATAGGAACTAAGTTTTTCTTTAGGAGAAAGCATTGTGGCAATTCAGATTTGGGTGTCTTATTTACTTTTTTTTCATCTTCAAGCTTATATTAATCATGATTCAAAGAATTCAAATGTAGATATTTTTATCTAAGTGCTTCAACAAGTCACTAATGTGTAGTTTTGAAATTTTGGACTTTAACCTAGAAACATTACAAAAAGAGATTTCTCCTATAAAATATACCTCTTTTTAATTGATAACATACCTGGAATTTTTATTTTCAATCCTGGATTTGACGCTTTTGGTTTACCTGTTGATTTTCAAAATTTTTGGAGAGTTCGAGTGGGAGAGTTCATATTAGTTAAAACGTAATTGATATTACAACTACACATTTTAGAGAAGTGCCATTGACCTACTTGAAGTCCATCTCAAATACTGTCTTTGTATCATGCAATGGCTAACAAGTGACCTCATCAAATATAGCTGTACGATCTTGATAATGATTTGTCTTTCAGTTTTGCAAAAGAAACTTCAATTCATTTTTTACCTCTACTGGTTTTGTTTTTGTGGCTACTGCAACCTATAGGACATGTGTTGTCGAGATGAGTGAGTGAGTAAGTATAACAATAGAACTAACCCAATTTTGACCCGATATTTCCCGGTGCTACCGGAGTACCTAAATATTCCGATATCTGCACTCGATACACAGTTGAGTTCTCTCCTTTTGAGATTTCTGGCTCATAGCCACTTGCACATTATGTTTTCAGTTTTTTCCGTGACACTACGAAAGACAGCAGAAAGTGATAAACAACTCGCAATCTCTTCAGGACTGCGTGCGGTTTAAAACAAAGGTTTTCCTTGCAGAAATATCTTCATAGGTGTGATTGGTGCATCATAAAAATTGAGGGAAATATTTTTTTCTCAGAAGAAAGAGCATTTTATCATTTGTTCTCACCGTGACACTACAGAAGACTATAAACATATCAAACTAATTTCATAGTGGCATCCACCAAAGCATAATTCAAATATAGTAACGGTTTGTCAAACAAACTCAAGTTTAATGAGTCTCACGACAATTTTTCTTTAAAAACAGTCGATGATTTCACGGAAAGTATTTTTCATTTCCATCAACAGTTAATGAACGAAGAATATCCCTGCTCAGTTAGTGAATGGCTAGCAGAGTAATCATAAGTAAATTCAAATATATGTTTTAAAGTTGTGGGATTTTGCTCGTTTGTTTGCTGCAATGATCATGAAGTGTGTAAGTGTCGTCTTTCTTCCACCAAAAACTCAAGTCAAATGAGATACTTTAACTAGACCCAAGGGGATTTAATGGGGCTTTTCTCTTTGAATTCCTTCGGTTTCTGCTGTGCAGTTGACGGTGCAATGTCCAAATGAACGGACTTGCACAGACTTACCGAAAGCGTATCTTTGCTCATCGTTTTATAGCGAACTAGTACCTTTAGATTATTATTATTATATTATATTGTTATCATCATTATTATTGTTAATATTATTATTAGTTACCATGTAATTATTGGTTGAAAGTCAACAAGTGAGTTGAAGCTGTTGATATTCTCTTGATGTCAATGAGACAATACATTCTTGAATCATGTTTCTCCTGTGAAACAGGGTACTCATACATTTGTGGGATGCAGCAGGTTTCTTTTTTGCATACGAGACAAGTCTTTTGCTACACTACCTTCCAATGTCATTATACAACCTCTAGTTCTTTCCATTGTCATAAAAATTGTGCCATACAGGTAGCCACATGCAGTTTTGAATGTCTATTTTTTTCTCTATAACAAAAAGATCCTTCTCATTTCGTGGTTTAGGTAAATCAGTTTAAGTAACGTTTTGTGCTAAACAGCTAATGAAGGAATAAGACATTGCCTTTCTCTTTTTTCTTTGAAAGAAAATTTACTTCCATTTCCGCCTGTTTTTCAAGTGCTGTGAGTGATGGTGTGTCATCTTCCACAGGCTCCTTCTTTTGAGCGGCCTGAGTGGACGGTGCAGCCGGTTTTGGGAGCAGAGGCCTGGAACTAGGTGCAGGAGAGGGTTTATTTGACTCGATAAGTGCAAGTAAGTCGGTACCCAGGTCCTCAAGGGTGTTTGACTTGCTGGATTTGTTTCCATCCGATTCGGGGAATTTGTGAATGAAAATTAGCTTTTTTACACCTAAGAATTCACATAATAGCAAAATTAATATCAGGATTGGTATCGTTTCTTAGTAGATATTCCAAAAAGTCAAACTTGCAAACCTTTTCTTTTGCTCGCTTTCATAGCTTCAACCTGTAGTTCCCTGATGGCCTGTTCGGTTGCCCTCTTTAAATCCTGAAGTGTGGACATCTCCGACTTTTCAGATTCCTCTTCGTCCTCAGAATACTTATACTCAGCCTTGAGTTTCCGTAACTTTGCTCGCAGTCTTCGTAATTTCACTTTCAAATCCTGCAAATAACAATAACACTCAAACTTCACTCATCGTGACAGGTTGCTGTATTCATAAGTTGTTCAGTAAACCTCCTTTCCTCAATATTCGCTGAAAAAGGGTGACAAGACAGATCTGTTGAACCATGCGAAGGAACATATTTAGGAGCTAATGTTTAATTATCACCTTAAGTTTCTTTTGATGTTCCCTATTGGCCTTTAATTGAACCTTCAAAGCCATTTCTGCGGGCGAATACAATGCTGTTGAATAGCTCGGTCGTTTAGGCTTATCACTGGCATGTGCATGCACAGTTTGTCCAGGGACGATAGGTGCGATGGCCAAAGGACGCTGCATGTAATTAGGTAAACTCTGCTCATCGGGTGCATCAGAAGGCTGTGAATCCTCTAACTGCACAGAAGAAGGCAAAAGATAATCGTTGTATCGACATTTGAGCCTTTATATTTGAAAAAAGATTTTTTTTCAAAAGCGCAGATTAATAGACGATCGTTGTAATGAGCTTTAAATAAGCGCTCAAGTACACAGAAGTGATTAATTAAGCATAGAGTAAAACTCTTGATAGTGTTGAAGGTGCACTGTGATTGCCTACTCAAACTCGGAATATCCTTTGCAATTCACTTCCTGGCAACTCGCGCGGGAGTAGCGCCCTCAGAGTCGGTGGCTGAGGGTGGTTATTTACCTGGCCGTTTCGCAATTCGGTAAATGTCGTCTACTAGCCTCCTCCATTTAAGTAAATAGTTATTAAATATACAATATGTTTCTGCGACAAGAAGGGCCTTTGGTACTTCTCTTTCCAAATTTTCCAACTATGTATTATAGTTTCGGCGATAAGAGGGTTCGGGTAAAAATGCCTTTGCCATGTTGTAAGGTTCTGCTTACTTATTAATATTTTTGTTTTAAACGTTAACATTTCACTTACCTCAGAATTAGTGTCATCCTGGCCACCCATAGACCCTGCAGCATGCCCCATTCCTCCTACTTTCAACCTGTGTCCCATTGCACCCATTCCCATTCCCATTCCCATCCCATTTCCTATATTACCCATATCATTGCCCATACTATTCTCCATGTTTCCAATGCCTCCCAGTCCTTCCATCCCGTTTTCCATTCCATTTCCCATCCCATTTCCTCCCATTTTACTTCCCATCCCGTTCCCCATCCCAAGGTTAAGCCCCAGTGATCCAAGATCAAGGTTTCCCATTTCCCCTCCCATGTTGTCGTTGTTGCTACTCATGCGTCCGCCACCGCCAGCCATTCTTCCTCCGCCGCCGCCACCACCGCCACCACCACCTCCTTCACCTCCACCCCCACCTCCTCCCCCACCGGCCATGATTTGTCCCAGGAGCTGCTGCAAGGAACTATCAGACATGCCATTGCCACCAAGCTCGTCCATCCCAAGATCCATTGCTGTTAATTTACAAGACAGTTGACAATAACATCAGACAGAGTGTTAATCTCATATCATGTTTAATATATCCCCAAAGCAGTAAGTTTTAGGCCTTTGAATTCAATGTCTGTTCTAATTATGTCTTCAAATTGCTTCTTTTTTTACCTTTAACGAAGAGTTTTATAGTTAGAACTACATTTTAAGTGTTGAATTTATAGACAAAGAATTATGCCTGTCACTCCTTGACATCAATTGTTATGTTTTAGTATATGTCCTCGTAACCCGTTTATTTTTCAAAGTCTCTGTCTTAATTAGTACAACGATTTGTGGACTGTATCTCAGGATGTTTTTCATCTTATTATTCAAGTTGTATGTTCAAGTCAGCTAAATGTCGCTGATGTAGTCATTCCAATGCACTTGCATCTGAGCTTTTCCTTTGAACTCCCTTAGTTCAATCACTTGTCGACTAAAGTTTATAAGAGAACCAGTCCCGTTCACTTGAATATCCTGGCACTATTTATGAATTATTCATAACTTACCACCTATTCCCTGCCTTCCCCCAGCACCCATGTTAAGCTTCTCTTCCAGAGAGTTCAATAAATTTTCACTTCCGTCTCCAAGCTGTTGGCTTTGTGAGATTCCCCCTGAGAGTGAGTTAAAATCATTCAAACCAGTTGAGGCTGTGTTTCCTGTATTTCCCAGCATGTCCAACCCGTTATTTTGGTAGGAACTGAGCGAGTTAATTGAGTTCAATTCTGATACCCCTCCTGTTTCCCCTAAGTTTGACACAAAGGAGTTGACTCCACCAGCTTGTGGTGCGGATAACGAGTTTAGAGCTGCTGATGACAGATCACTTAACGCTGTTTGACTTTGCCCATTGCTTGTTGTAGCGCCGCCATAGTTTGAACCAAAGTTATGTCTGGCGTCTAGCACTGCATTTGAACCCAAAACGTTTGCGCCACCCGTCCCGTAACCAGTAGGTAGCAACGTCCCGAGGCTGGCACCATAGTCGTTGGAATAACTGGTACCAAGACCTGTTCCATACGCAGTTGTCCCAAGTCCCGTATTAAGACTGGAGTCATAACTGTCCGTCGTTGGGCCTGTTAGGCCTACTCCTAACCCATTTCCTAAACCTAACCCCCCCCAGTTTGCTACAATAAATTGTTTCTTCTTTTTGCGTTCTCCCCGACTCCTTGTCCATCGTGGATTTGCAAGTGTTGCTTTTTTGACCGGAGACCTGTCTCTGAGAGAGCCTTCCACACCTTTCGTGTTTAGTAGGCCTTTCGTCGTCAACGAAAATCTTGTCAGTTTTTTTGATGTGTTTCTTTGTGCCCGACGAACATTGTTCGATGGCTCCTTATCCCCTTTAATTTTTTTGTCCGTTTGAGAATCAGCTCCTCTTGTAAGACTTACAAGGTTGGCATTCCTTCTATTTGCGTTGTATTGAAATCTTGGGGAATACTCATCACTCCAGTCATTGTTTCTCGTATCAGTTCTTGGTGCATGTGCATATAACTTATGTGGTTTTGTCTCCGGTAGTTCTCTGTCCCTTGGGCTTTGGTAGTATGTTCTACTTCCGTATGATCCATTAGGAGCTTGTGAAAGCGCTACAATAAATTAAACATTTACATGAACTGTCTTTCGCACAATTTTAAGGCTACCAGATTGCAACACATTTTCTGGTCTCTGGAACTGACCGCAAAAGTTGTTGGTTATTGAGAGACAGGAATTTTGTTTCGATAAGTTTTTTCAGGGCCATTTAGTGAATATTTTTCTTTTCGTTAACACAGACAAACAAATAAAACAGAAGGAAAAATAAATATGAAAAGGAAATTCTTTGGGTTGGACTTCACTGGTAGAACCTTCTGTTATTACCTGATCTTGGTAAAGGCCATTCCACCAGTAAAATGAACAATAAGACCAGTAAATTATTCATTACAAGCCGTGATTTCTTCCAGTCTCTTCACATGGCTTTTGTCCTGGAGAGAAAATTAGAAATTTACCGTCTATATAAATAATACAGAGAGAAATGTTTAAGTTAATCATATCTTTAAGTTATATATATTTATAACAAAACCTACCACCTTTAGAGGAATACTAAAGGCTGCAGGTTTTCACCATACTGTGTCAACAAATAAAGGTTTAACTGGTGGTCATTTTCAGCATTTGTAACTACGCTGACTAAGCCGTGATTCCAGTTTAAGATCAACAAACCGTTGAAAGAACTAACAACTTGTTAGTAATTCTGTTAATATGGAGCACGGTTTCGTAAATGAGAGGTGAAATTGATCGTGTAAAATCGGTAAAAACCCCAACAACGCTAAAAGGAAAAAATTACGATGGCCATTTGTAATTTTGCTGTAGATACACTTTCCTAACCTCATGGCGTTTTGATCTTTGACATTTTTTGCTCTGACTTTAAACTAAATCACAACTTGATCATGGCTGTTTTCAACAGAGCAAATGGCTCAACACTACATATAAACATGTTGCGTTACCTTGCGAACTGTTCCTCTTTTGCATTCTTTAAAATATGCACAAATAAGCGTTCAATATAACAACAGGCTAAATCCTGAAACAAACGGACATCTAGAACAAAATCTCACCAGGTGTGGGATTGCCCCCTTTTTGGCGGTGATTCACAACACAAACTTAGAGTTATATTTATCATCAAGGAAGAAGAACCAGTCGAAGTCATTTTGTAATTAATTGCTCGGCTGTCATGTATTATACAGGATTTTTTACTAAAGACTTAGGTGAGAAAGATTTTGAAATACACAGCTTTAAAGATCGTAAAGTAATATATATAGTTGATAATTATGACATTTTTCTTGCGCTGTAAATGTCGTAATTAGTAAACACAAACCAGGTCTTTGAATCGAAACCACTTGTCAAAACAAGTTGGGATCACAAATATATTCGCAAACCACTCATACAAATTTAAAATTTACTTACCATTTGCAAGTTTTTCCTAGACAAAACATTTCATTTGATATTCCTCCATTATCTTTCACGACTCACCAGGCTTGCGATATGACAAATTATGGACCCTGACAGAGAATGCCTAATTTGGACACGAAAAATTATCTGATACTTGATTTCATGAATTACCTCAGTAATGGAAGGACAGGAAAGCAGCTGGGCGGTACTCAAATTATGGATCACTTTTGTTAGATGGAAAATTTTGGGGCAAGTCTTAGGGAGGTTACTCCCATGAGAGAATGAAGAACTGATAAAACTGTTGAAGAGACACCTGTTTGTACCAGTTATGACTGGTGGTTTTCCTTACATGAATTGGGCTACAGCCAGCTCGACGTAGGAAACAGGAGACATTACCTTGCTAAGAATTAGGAAAAAGTTGTTCATCTATTTTTGCTTTTTGTTTCTTTTTCCTTCCTAAGCATTTTGCGATCTACTTAAAGCTTCTTGTCAAAGAAAATCCGTTGCCAAAAAATCAATCGATGAGGGCAAAGTTTTTAAACAGGTTAAGAGCGCAGTATGACCACCCGTTATCATTGACTTTGTTTTGACTTTCTTTTGTAGGACGAACTTTAGAAAGAAAAGTATCCTGGCTTACACCGGCTCTGTAAGTGATAAAGGGACCTAGTTGTTTATCATACGCGGCTGATGTGACAGTCACTTCGGGTTAGTCTTGAGCAGACTTTGCTTGTCCGCTTAAATGTTTTTTTTTTCAAATGTATGGCATGTTTCAAAAGGTCGATGGAACATTAAAAGGCCATCTTACCCAGAGCTGTTGCATTCCTCGGGGTTTTTCAAAAGTAAAATCTATCCAGCCTGTCGCTCATCTCGCTCAACGTCTCATCTACTTACAAATACTATCATACTTTGCTGCCGTTTGGGTTAAAAGATGTTTTGAGAATTTCAGTACATCTGAATAAAGGTTTGTTACGTGAAACGAGTCATTAAACACAGAGATAAACTTTATAAACGCAGACCAAAAATGTATTAAAAGATAACGTCTATCGGGGTACAAGTCAATGTGTAGTGTTCAAGACAGACTATTAATCAGAGTAATCAAGCAGGATCGATCGGTATGTATAATTTGTCTACATGCATTCAGCATGAGGCCTTTTAAGTAACGCCGTTCTTCTAACATATCATTTCCAATTATTACTTGATCTTTCCATAGTTAATAGAGGAGACCTGTGATCTTTCAAAGACTTCTAACAAGTAGTTACCATTTTTTCGCCAATCTATAGCACGTTTCTTCTAACAAATATCAATACCTGTGTTTATTTAAATGATCCGTATGGCCACGACCACCCTTTTGGTGAAGTATACTTTGTAATTTAATCTCCTTACGAGGCCTGAACGCGATGGCGCGAGGAGAGTCGGAAGCAGCCTGACGGCTCTTATGGCCTTGTGAAATACAAAGTGGAAAGAATGCACGAAGAGAGGATAACATGGATAGAGCAGAAACGAAATGATAACATGCTTGTTGACTGAGTTAGGTCGGACGGGTTGGGAAATATTTGACCCTTAGTCATGCACTCGGTCCAAACGTCATGACTGGGAGTCATATATCTACTATTTGGCTTCCCACCCATAGAAGGTCATCATTATATACCTGACATGATATGAAGTAGCTTTGATATTTTAGCAAAGCTGTGCCTTCATTAATTATACTTTGGCATCAGAAGTTCGTTTATAACAGTCCTCCGTCACACACACACACACACACAACACGTTTTAATTTATTTCCGCTCTCCTGATTTAAATGCGAAGGTTTCAGTCGCTTCCTTCCTCCGTTGGCCAACTGTTGTACCCATTTCCCTCTCCGTCGTCCTCATCGACACCCGGGAACTCACCACCCGCTTGGCTTGCAGGGAATGGAATAGACTCGTCGGCGTCTACCTCTCTTCCAATGTCTTCGATCTGTTGACTTTTTTCTCTTGTGTCTTGTTGTATTTCGTCTCCAAAGTTGGCCACCTCTCTACTTTGCTCGCTGATCCGGGAGCTCATTTCGTCACCAAAAGCTTCGGTTTGATGGGATAAAAAGTTCACGCCACGTCCCCCCAGAAGGGCTAACGGAACTGGCACATAAAAGGGATCTCCCATTTCGTACTCAGTTGGACGGCAATTAACTTTAATAAAAAGATTAAGTTTATAGGTCTTAACGTCCAATAGCACATAAAATTGATCTCTACCACGAATCCTCGCTTCCAACAAAACTAACTACAACTTTAATTAAAGCTCAAACAACAAAATCAAAAGAAAACAGAAAGTCGAACAAAATTTTTACTCAATAATATAACAATGGCTGCAAAGAAATTTAGCTAACTAATTAATTAATAAGCTGTAGCTCGTTGCTAAGCAAATTTAGTTTTACCATCTAGATCACAAATTTCGATTTGCGGGAAATCCTTCCCTCAAAAACTTTGAAACTCCTACCACATCCTCCACTGTACGTGTACAGTTTTTTAAGTATGATTTTTATCGTATGTTATTGCGGCTACTAAAAATTACGATTTATGTTTGATTTAACAACCTAGGACATTTCACATTGCTCATAAAAAAGTAACCTCAAGTTTTGTTTCAAGGCTTGCTTATTTTATGCCAACTAGAAATAACTTTTAACTAAACATAACTTTTGTTTTCGTATGTCAATGATCCACAAGTAAACCAAACTTACCAGGCTTCAAGCAAAGACAAAATAACGCCAGAAACAAAAACATTGTCGTCAATCATTGCTATGCTTTAAATGTAAGTTATCTTTAACCTGGATGGCAGGGGAGATATCAACCAGTTATCCACCTGTGACTCACCCGACTGGTTTTCAAGGTTCCGTTTTTGAAAAAAATCATTTTTATTCATCACTCCTAGCGGTATCACCGGACTACATACACACAATATCGATTTTGCTAGAAAATTTTAGTCACTGAATACTTTTCAAACTGATATTCAAGATTAGAAAAAAAATTTTTTTGTACATTGAGTCTCTTGAACGCGCTCGTCAATGATAAAAACTCACCAAGAATCTTCAACTATTTGTGTTTCTATTGACTCCGACAAAGCTTTAAACAACAATATTGTTACGATAACACACTTGAGCTTTCATTATGCAGTTAAGAAGTTCTTGTCTATCTCATTTCGCCTCTGTTACATGCGTTAGCGTTTTAGTTTACAGTCTTCACTCGAACGCTTGGTGGTTAATGACATTTCACTACTCACAAAAGAACCAGAACGATTAGTTCTTATTTAGCCTTCAATTCTACGTTACTGCCAATGCGAATATTTTGTCCACCTTTGAGCGGCCGGTGAGTATTTTCTGTTAGAGAAAGTTTTTTCATTAGCAAGGCTTTATTGCAACGCTTACAAGGTTTTTCTTTGAGTGATGAAAGATGTTTCTTGGTAGCTGCGGCCTTTGCTTGCTGTGAGTTTAGTTTATGACTAGCTCTTTGCCCTGCAACATCTGTTTTTACTCTATTTGATCGGCTAGCAACGAGCTGCTTTTGCTCGACTGCTTTGTCGAATTTCCTCTCGTATTTTCTTCCCGGGTAATTTTCTTTCACTTGATGACTTCGAATTAATACCAAGTGCCCTGTGTCGCTGTCGAAATCATTGTTGTGGTACATCGTAGTCCGTTGGGTGGCCTTCTCGTCTAGCAGCGGCTTAGAAAGCAAACTTGATTCATCAATATCTCGCTGTCCTGTCCCAAGCACCGAAGCAGCTTCACGTATTCCTTCTATAATATTGGTTGATTCCCCTTCATCCCTGAATTTCCCTTTATTTTTCTGAAGCAACTCTTCGGCTAGGGCGGCACCGAGGCCTTCTGAGGGCCCTGGAGGCGTGTCTAAGGGTGGCTTTGCAACACCACTGTGGGTGAGAAAATTCTGATTTCCATTAAAGAACACCTTTTCTTCCTCTTCCTGAGGTATAACACCATTTTCCTTCAAAGATTCCAGTTTATTTAGGAGACCGAGTTTTTCGCCACCCAACAAATTAGAGTTGTGCCTGATGCTCCCCATGTCGCCTCCGTCCAGTAATTCATGAGACCTACCGACAAAACGACTTTCTGAGTGAAGAAGATCATCTTGAGAATTTCTTGGCTCAGGAACAGCGACAGTTTTGCCATCTAAACTTTCATAACCATTAGCGTTCTTTCCTTCTGTTTTTGGATTCCACCAGCTTTTGTCGGTAAATGGAGTGTTCTCGTAATCGCTTTGACGTTGATCTCCTCCGACCGTGTCACCATAAGATCCATACGAATTCGTGCCCCATTCGTTGTTCATATGATGCTGCCTTGTCACACCTTCGCTCTCTAAATCGGAAATTCCCCCATTATACCCATCTCTTTCTCTTGTTTCTTGTCCCTTCGAAGCCTTTACCCCCGGGAACAAAACAGGATCCTCGGGATAAATTGTGGATGGATAAGACGAGGAGGGCATTGGCTTATAATACTTGTGCCATTGGGTACTGCTTTGGATGAACGACACCTGAGCTGGGGACATGGTATCCACTCTGAGGCCACCTATTTCTTTTGAAGGAGGCTTGTTAAAGAATTTATTGGCTTCATATCTCTCTGGACTGACCAAGTTCTGCAAGCTGTACTCTGCTTGATCGATTCTGTTGGTATCCTCACCAAGGAGTTCCTCCTTCTTAGCGACATGAACTCTCTTAGCGAAACTGTGTCTTTCTCTTTCGCTTCTATCTGACATGTATAAAAAATGGTTTTGCAATCTAAGATATAAACCATCAAACTTTCTTCATTTTAACTGCTACTGCAAAACAATAAGAGGTGAACTTGGACGAGTTAAGTTGTCCCTGCATTGCGAAATAAATTGCTCTGTTTAATTTTTAAGAATTTATCACAATCACTAGGGAGGTTTCCAAAATGTTATGATGCATGGTCAGCATGTTTTGGTCAGACTTTATGCTTACAGTCCTTTTAGTTGGTAAATAAATCGCAAAAACGGGCGTTTTAGTTTAGTCATGTTTGGCTCGAGGGAATTCGTGGAAAAATCTTGTTTATGTGGAAATCGAATTTCAAAGCTAGATCATCTGTCCTCACGTAAAGAATTGTCATGTCACATAGAAACGTCGCCATCTAAAATCGAAAACCGCAGTTTCGGTAGCAATAAAGCTGCCTAAATTTGTTTCTAACGTTTTTCAAACAGTACCATTTCCACCTACTAGACAGCGGAGGCAGATCCGGAATGTATCATTATGATACCTTTACGCCCCTTCAATTACAAATATGCCCACTCTTCAAAGTTACTCCAGGGCTCGCAAAGAATTTAATTTTGTTATTGCTTTTACTTCAAAATTTTATGGCATACATTGCTTAATTTTGATCAATTTCTTATCTTTTCGTATAACCTATTTTTATGATGTTCCCCCCTCAGATACACCTACCCTCTTTTCACAAAGGATATCTCATAACGAAGAAAATCTGACATGTTTTTTATTTAAGGGAAAAAGCATGTACAATTTCAGTGTTTATGATAAGGAAAATCGAAAGAGCTAGTAGATTTTCAGGGTTTAAATAAGATCGTCATTACTGAAATATTTTTAGACGTACTTAACATTGTCAAACAACACAACATTTCACTGTTCAGCTTACTTACCATGTCTGGAATGGATTGGAACAGCTAATCGTTGAAGTAGTAACACTAATAACAGGTAATGCATCGTATAGAAGAAAATCTTTAACCGAGAGGTACATTTATTAAGTTGAGCAACCCGGTATTTTCAACGGGTGTTTTGAACATCTTTACCGTGAGCCATCAATATTTAAAACTTTTTGACGTCACAGGATATATTTTATTTCGTCTGGGCAGGTTTGTTGTGGTTTTCTAATAGCTTTTTGTGTTTATAGCTTTATTTTCAAACCTTTTTTATCTTTCAGAACAAATCATCGCCGCTCATTAAAACAAATGATTGGGAATTTTTCGTTATCTGATTACGACAGTGCGTAAATTCGAGGAAGCTCTGTCGAAAGGAAGCAGGTGCCCCGTTTCGCTTCTTAACTCGTTTGGCTACAGGAATTATTTTCTTCCGTTAAAACTATTCTCGACTTGGAAAAAATTTTGACGGATAATTTTTAATGGTATATACCATGATTATTAAAATCACTGTAAATCCTAACATTATTCTCACCATTTAACAAAGAAAAACGATGGTATTTGATGGATTCGCGTGTTCTATAGAAGGATTTCAAATGTTTTAGCTTTGTGAAACGCTAGTTATAACGGTTAATTTATGTTTTATTTATAGCAGAAACCAACAAGAACTTCAATGCAATTGCAGCTTTAACCGTAATATTCTGAGGAACATGGTCACGTGATCATTTCGAATTACATCATTCGTCTCCATTGAGTGTTGGTCTTCTCCGTCAAATAGGATTCTCTTCTAGAGAAATAATAAATGTTCGAAATGCTATAAAACAACCATGGTGGTGAATGAGCAGTAATGGTGTCCAGAAGCCGATGGACTGGCGGATTGTTTATTCTGTTGGCAACTCTGACAGGTCTGTGTTGTGAATCTTGAATCCCATCGTCACGGAAAATTATTTAAGAGTTGCTTGTGCTTGTCGTCATTTCAGACGCTCCACGCAAGCGGGCTCCGATTGCTTAATTTATATATTTTTTTTCTTTAAAGTAAAATTTTATGATGGTGTCTAGCTCAAATTGAAGGGGAAATAAGAAAATAAACTAAACTGTAGTGTCACATGCAGATCTCTGCCTTTACCATGTAAAATGGCCAAGGCAATTTGTCCTACTGGTAACTTCCAACACATGATGACATTTTGTTCCTTGAACTCCAACTCAAAACAACTTGGAATAATTGCCTGATTATATTTGGAAGGAATCACCGGCGTGGTTTTGAAATCAATTGACTCCTTATTTGTTCTACAAGTCGTCACACTTAATACAAACAAAAATCTGAAGTGGGCGTGACGAGTGTTAAATTTGTTGACATTTAGCGCCAGCGATCTCACTTGACCATAACTTTAAGGGAAAGTATGACAATTCAGTAAATACCAGAAGTTTCAACAGTGAGATTCGCCACTTATTGTGAGAATAAATTTTGCCCGACTGCCCCGTTATGTTGCACTGTTTGGCTAATTTTTTACTTCTCCTGCACACTCTAGCAACTGCCCTACAGAATGCACCAGCACCCACTGCAGGAGCAGTCCATAGCCACAAAAAAATTGCAGCCAACAAATCCCGCAAGCGGCAGGAAATTATATTTCTCCGAGATGACCTAACACGCAAGAGAAACCGGGAAGAAGATACAATGGCAAACATAGAAAAACATGGAAAAAGCGTGACCGCCGAGGGATATGTTTTTAAAGGAGGTCCAATTACTTATAATTATGACGATTCGCCAGGTTATCAAGGACCTGCACTAAAGGGGCAATCTGTTAAGAAAGATCATGGGCCACCTGAAATCCAAGAGAATCAGAAGAAAAGCGATGCTTATGAGGTTGTGTCCGAAAATGGTGATAGTAAAAACACTGACACAGTCAGCGACGGAGACGATCAGGAACTGAAAGTAGTGAAAGTGGAACATCCTCGTGTCAGAGCACATGATTATGGCAGACATTCATCTCATTACAGAGGACATCACAAATCCGGACTTCACATTGTTTCTATTGATGATAACGATGAAACTAATGATAAAGATTATGACGAAAAGATATCGCGAGATAAAGACTTGAGACTTTACGGGTCTATTGGATCGCCTTCTCCAAACTCTGTAGGACATGAATCGCGCAAAATACATCATTCGATTTATCATGATGAGTTTCTTCCTTCAAATATTGTGTCTTTATCCCAAGATGATTTCGCTGGCCCCTTGCTAAGAGGTGCTGGTCACTCCACCGAGGAATTTTTTCCAAGTTTTAAAAGACGAGATTCTTTATTGTTTTCTGAACCTTCTCAATTACAACAAACGGAGGAGATAATGCAACAACAGTTTGCACCCGTGAACCCGAAATCGATGTCATTTGGTGAACGACCGGATATGCTTTTGCTTCCAATATATAATGGTTATGCAGGTACAAGTCCCACGGTTGTTCCCTTCACCACTCGGAGAACTTTTCCTTCATCCATGTCTCAGCTAGCATCTGCTCCTATCGATTATTCACCATCTTCATCAACGGCGAACCTTGGTAACGGACTTTCACTGGAGCCGGCCTTTCAGGTTCCTCAAGTGCAAACGCCATCTGTAAGTTCGCCTTACATTCTACCATCGGAGACTGAAGAAGAGATTTTGTTTAACAATCAGCAGCCTGATATACGATCACTTTACTCTCTTCAGGCTCAGTCACAAATACAAATCCCCCAGAGCAACTTTCCACATTTGGAACAACCACAACAGCCCATCATTTCAAGTGGAATGCAAATGAATCCTTCTATTCTTTCTTTGGTTGGTCAACGGGAGGTCGGTCCAGCGCATCGGTGGGTGGACGAGGATGGGCGCCAACGCAGTGAAGTCTTGGATCGTGGCACGGAAGGACAAGATGATAACAGGTCCCACGATGACGGAAACGAGGGTGATCATGACGAGGATGACGAAGATGATGAAAGAGACCCAAATAGCAGATACCCCGGGAAAGGTGACAGCCCCAGTCCAGACGAAGGTGATGAAAGATACCCAAATAGCAGATACCCCGGTAAAGGTGACAGCCCCAGTCCAGACGAAGGTGATGAAAGATACCCAAATAGCAGATACCCCGGTAAAGGTGACAGCCCCAGTCCAGACGAAGGTGATGAAAGATACCCAAATAGCAGATACCCCGGTAAAGGTGACAGCCCCAGTCCAGACGAAGGTGATGATGACGGGGCTGAAGAAAACCTTTCAGAGGAAGACTCCGAAGACGATGATGAAGCCGACGAGGAGACGTCTAACTACTTCAATGATAGAATGTATGGGTCTAAAGAAACAGGGGACTACCGTGGTCCAGATGCTCAACCTACTGAACAAAACGACGAGGACGAGGATGAAGAAGAAGACCCAGAACCTTCCCAAGGCTTATCGCCACATGCAAAGATACGACCATCCAAATATAATCTAGCGGCTCGTTTCATGGCGTCAAGTCGCTATTTCCCTAGGTTTCCTCCTCCTCCGGAAACGTCAAATCTTATGGCTGCCCAAGCATTTTCAAGGTATCAGTTGATGTCTCCTTCCTCCGCCCTCAAGGAGAATATCCTACCTAAACCAGTGGAGAACCCAAAACCCTCTTCAAGCCTCCCCAACGCCAATTCAGACCTCAAAATCTCTCAGATGAGTCCTGCTGAAGCTCAGTTTTATGAAAACAAGGTAGCAATGGAACCAAACTTCACACCATCAATTGCTTCAAAAGACACCATTCCTGGAAAATCTCGTCGATTTCGAGTTGGGCTTGGTAAGGTGCTCATCCGACTGAACGGTAAACCTTTGGAGGACTCCTCTCAATTGCGGAGTAAAATAGAAAACGGACAGATCATACAAGGTAAAGGAAAACTCATCAAATCCAAAGGTCCAGTGCGCGTTAAACTTTCTCATACCAAGGATTCAAAACACCTGAAGATAATAGATATCATAGCCCCAAAACAATATGAGGTGTATGATACCAAAAGTAAGATCAGAACACCCATTAATTCCACATAATTTAAAGGTTATCCTATTTCGTGCCAAGGAAAAACCGATAAAACGCCACGAAATGTAATGAATGACATATAATGTATGCAGTGTGAAATATGCGCACATCGCAGCTTGGGAGCACAAACCACAGCTGAATCTACTGTAAACTATCCGTAAAGCAATGCATGTCAGGGTAAATTAAGTGCAACCGATTGAAACGGAGTATCAACATGTACAGAACACTTAACTTAAACTGAATGTGAAGGTGAAGAAATGCGGTTTTTTATCCAAATCGTATAAATGCTACAGCCATAAGGTCGTTTCACTTGCTCTCACGTGGCTCAACTTCCCCCCACCCTTTTTCTGTACAATGCTCTGTTTGGTTCTTTGTAAAATCCCTCACAATTAAAAGTTTTTTCTCCTTTTTAATTAACAGCGAAACCTTAGTTGCAAAGCTAAGATGCCATGCAAGAGGTATCCCGTGGTCGAAATTTTCAATCATTACTATATTACGTTGTTAAGCTTCAAGTAATCTTTGTTACGTTTGAAAGAGGTAACAACCGCCGAAAATGCCGGTTTTATACGGTAGATTCTACGCATTTGTAGCATGAGAAACCAAGTACTATCGCATGTTGTTGTTTCGTGGTAGCATGTTTTTGCAATGAGGTAACAGGCATTATAATCCATCAAGTATTTTTCAAAATTATATTCTCGTGCGTGATGATTGGTTCAAAAGTGTCACATGACTGAATATACTCCAGCTAAATCTGGGGTATATTCAAAGATATTTGGCTCAGTGATATTACATAATTGAAAACCTTTTGTCTTTCTTCCAGAAGTTATTCAAATTAAGAAAGCGGTTTGCTGTTATTACTGAAGAAGAAACTACCTCGTTTGTTCAAAAAGTCAATAACCGTTCTTGACGGTGAGCTGTGAGTGAACGTTTAGTTCCTCGCTCTGCGCTTAAATATTAAGAAGACAATAAGTATCATAGCTTTCATAGGATATGCTCATACATCATACATTATCGATTCCTCCAGCGTATCGGAGGATATTTGGGCCCCTTTTTTGGGCCCCTTTTTTGGGCCCCTTTTTTGCAAGGATACCTTGGTCTTGCTTGTGACTAGCAATCAGATAATTTTTGATGCAAGAGGTAACATTTTTCATTAATGCAAATCGAAGGTACATTAGCTTCCCTGCGTTTTATAAAATCAGTTAGTCAGATTCACGTTCCCTTTGCCTGCAACAGTGTTTTCGCTAATCTGTGGGCAACACACTGTTTTTTAAAATGATTTGTTATTGCTGATGTCACAAAGGCCACCATGGTCATTTACTTTTACAGTCAATGAAATCTTTCACACCCTTAGCCTCCCCCCAAAACGCTGCGAGAAATAACGCTTCCTCCCAATAAATTCGGTCATTAAAAGTGGTACCTGGCCCCCTTAATTGGTTATGACATTCATGCCATCTCTCTTGTAGCAACATCGACTGAGAAGTCCTCTCAATCACTCTAGCTACTCTGAAACTGAAAGTCTTACTTGTAAAGACATGGTACAGTCTTCGGCGATTATTGCTTGTATTTTTTTTTTAATTTTTACAAAACTAACAAGTCTTAAATGACCTCCCAATCCAGTTTGATTTTAAATTTTTGTTTCCATTTTTATCTACGCATAAGGTAAACTGACACCTGGATTAGGTCACACTTATAGCGCAGTGTTAGCGTTATAAATAATTAACATCCAGCTGGTTTTTAACCAATTGCAGTTTTCTTCACTAATAAGCAAAACTTTCCTTAGCTCTCATATTAAATGGCGTACTTCTTGTGAAGGTTTCCCCTCCCAGATGGGCGGGTAAACTGCTGTGAAATACGGCATAAATAGACATTTGACAGACTTAAAAGAGTGGTGAACGACTGGTTCTGGTTGCTGTATCGACGAAGTTGACTATGGCCAAACTTTTCCTTGTACTAGTTGTATCTGTTGTTCTGTGGATGGAAATGTCAGGTAATGTTTTCGCTTTAGATTCATAACTGTCGCAGATTATCGCTGTAAACTATCTTTCAGACTCGTTTACTTTATTACGAGGGCTTCCTCGTGAAGCAGGAACATTTTAAATGACAAAATTGAGATTGACGAGAAAGGTTTCACCGTATTTCAGCTCTTGAAACGATTTCTTTCCTTCAGCTTTGACTTTATTTTTAAGATCCACCGTAGACAAAGAGACATAGTAAATCAACTGATAGGGGGTTTACAACTTGTCTTGTAAATTCACGAGAACGTCTTGCAACTTCACAATTCAGTGGTTCTCCCGAACACAACCTGTCTGAGTAAATCCTGACTTGAGAGCAGGGTGTTTATTGTAGCCATAGAACGGCGGGTGGAGTTCATTGGTCTTTGACTGGCAAGCCATGATTTTCACGCGTTCCTCGATAATGAATATATACTGTTTTTAATTATAAGCCTGCGTATGTCGAATTAAATCGTATGAAATTTAATTTGACATAACATTGTACTTTTCAAGTTTGTAGCTCTGGTGTTATTTAGCTTTAATATGTAGCAAGTTTTTTGCTTTGGTTTAGACTAACCTTTCAAATCGATATTCTTAGATTTGAATGGTATGAATTTGATAGGTATTCCTTTACAGTAAAAAATCTAACTGCACTTAGGTTGGAATTTTTAGAAAATGACACCAAAGTTGTTACAAACACCGGTGAAATCAATTTTCATTTTGAATTAATTTTAAGGTGTAAAGTGAATTGGCAAAGAAGGCAAGGCAAAGAAAAGATTTGCGTCCTTTGCTAACATTTTTCATATGCGCGACACCAAGCAAGCAAAATATTTCATTGAAATTTTCGTGAAAACAATGTAAACTGTCGCTATAACCTTCCCCATGAACGCATTTACACTTATACCAGTATGTAGAGGGGCTGGTGTCTTCTAGCTTTTCACACCTGAATTGGGCCCCTAATATGCCTTGTTTGAGATTTTACGATTTATCATAACATCCTTAAAACTTCTTTTTTTCGATGAAGCCGATGAAGTAGAAAATAAAGCAGACAACATGGCCAAAGCTATTGAACAACAAAACAAGAAAGTTGAAGAGGAAAGTGAAGCTATGGAGAAAGCGATCGACAACAAAGGAAAACTTGTTGATGCCAAGGACGAGGAAGATAGATTTGAAAAAGCTAGTGAAAATATGGCTGCTGTAGGAGATGCCGCTGAGAAGAAACTAGATCAGAAAGGTATCAAACTCAGGAAAAAGCGTATACCTTGAGCTTACGTGTTTAGGTAGAATCCTGTACGGCCTGTACAACGATAAGCTTTCTAGTGACTGTGTACCTTTTCTTTAAACAGGCATTAGTTTCCTTCTCTTTGCAATGCTTAAACAGATTAGCCATCGAAACAGTTGTTATCTTCCTTTTCCTCTAATTTTGACTCTTCTATACTTCAGCCAATTTAGTTGACAAAATTGCCGATGATACTAATACAGCCATTGAAAACCAAGGGAAGAAGGTTGAAGCACTAGCTTCTGGGGCAGACCTGGCCGAAGATCGTACAAGCAAACTAGTGGAGAAAATTGGTTAGTTGTATTACGTTAGTTTATGTGGGACACGTGAGAAACCAGTTTGTGATATTCGTGCTTTGATATCCTTAAAGTCTGCATGATTCGGCTATTTGTATCATTTTTAGTTTTCAGTCTACCTCTATTTTACTTGGACACGACTTTCTTGACTTCAGTTCTTAACGGAAAACGATTTGCAACATGACTTTAAAACTCACGTGAACTTAGACGCAACCGCGACCACTATTGATTACGGGCACCTTACTGAAAACAACGATTAATCACCTTAGACCATTTGTGACACATATGATTATAAAAACAAACCTTGCTTTTGTAACGAAAGGAATATGGGCACTTCTTTTGTTTTCAGGATACGTCAAATGCTTCATTTGAGGTATTCAGTCTGGGCATGCTTATATCAACGGGCTTGCTTACTGTATTTTTGCAATGAAAGTCTTTGAATGTGTTTTTGCCTGAAATTTCAAATGTACTCCTGAAACTGACCTCGTAAAGGAATACTTTCACCGGATATGATTTTCCGTAATGAGCTTTAAACTAATAAAGGCTGATAGTTTCGAAAGAAACTGTTTGGGGCTGCGTCGGTGGGAGTAACGAAATAATTTGGATATATCAACAAAGTTGAAATGGTAAATTGGCCACCGTAATGATTACAAAAGCTGACGTTTCGAGCGTTAGCCCTTCGTCGGAGCGAATGACGAAGGGCTAACGCTCCGATTTGGTTTAGGGCTAACGCTCCGATACCGGTTTGGTCCTCCGCATTCGCTCCGACGAAGGGCTAACGCTCGAAACGTCAGCTTTTGTAATCATTACGGTGGCCAATTTACCATTTCAACTTTGTTGATATATCCAAATTATAGAGCTTTAAACTACTTTTACTTGCGGATGTCAAAAGTATCTTTAACAATTGAGTGACCTTCAAACTCTATTTTCTGAGTAATAATATCTGGATGTCGTCAGCAGACCACTTTTCGGGCTTTCAAACATACTGCCTATGAATTTGACGCTCTTATCGTTTGCGTTAATGACTATTTTCACGCAAAGAAAGCAATTTCGCAAATCCTGAGAGATTAAACGCGATTGAAGCAGAAGCTGAGTCAACAATTGTAGGCTATTTTCGTCATTTACATTAATCCAGAGGTTCGTTAACAGTTTGTTTTTACAAACGACTGAATCAAAATAGTATCTGATGGAAAAATGAACTGGCTTTATCTTTGGCTCGGGTATCGACTGGTTTTGACGGAGCTTCGCACATTTTGGCTAGTAGGCCCTTGATATTCATTTATAAATTCCTTTTTTATTCATGTTTTTTAACATACAAACTAAAGTTTTTGTACGTGCATGCGGCGAACTGGTTTTATTGGAGAGTGTACTTCACATTTATCGCTCACTTCTGATTCATGAAGTTGCTCATCAGAATGTATTTTCGCTACTTCGTTTCACGAGGATAAAAGTCAAAACGTTGCCATTCGTTTTCCGTCGCGAGCGGTAAAAAGAAAATCGTGTCAAGCATTTCTATTGTATTATTGAGTGTTATTTTCGTGTGAACTCACAAAGGCAATGACATCGAAAAAAAGATAAAGAGTACTGAGGAGTCGTCGAAACCTAAATCCCGGATGAGTATTTCATATACCGTCCCACTGACTCGTGAGGCGTCCGCTGACCAGATGTCAGAGAGAAACAAATATAACGAACAGATTAGATCCAATAAAGACGCAGAAAGGACTTACCCGTGGCCCGCTCGTCAAGAATTACAAGGATACATTCCAGACTTCCATAGTGACGAGGATCAGGAAACTACAAGTGACATGAGTCTGAAGCCATTTAAAGAAAGCAACGCAGAAGTCGACCATGATGCTTTGTCAGACGAGGGTTTCACGGAAACCCCCGGCTTACGTCGGCGCATTTCCAAGATGTCTTACGCTCCCCGAAGTCAGCAGCCTCCTGCAGAAAGCGTTCTCCTCTCAAATCATCTAGTCAGCTTTCCTCATCACAAGCGACTTGGCAGGCATCGCCATCATTTCAAGGGATATGGCCAGCAAATAAGAAAGATGGGATTGGTTCAACCTACCTCTAAAAGTAGCGAGACAGGTTTGCTTGTGTTACCAAGCGGTGGGCCCAATAAACTGTCTGAAGACATTAGGATACAATTAGAGGACGACCAGTTATTGAAGAAAGCGGCCAAACAGGCTTTTAACAATGATGAAGGTAATACTGATGTCTTGTGCCTTACTTCAACTATTTAAAAAAAAAAAAGTCGTTGGTTAAAGGCGGGTGCAACTATAATCACCCGATAAAGATACAAGAAAGAATTTGAATATAACGTTCACGTGCTTGGCCGCGCAGCGTTTTGCCTAGGAAAATAAAATGAAAGCCCGATAACAGGTTTGCATGACACCAACTCCCGTAATTTCTGTTAATAAGTTGTTTACTTTACTCTTAGACTTGGATGTAACGCAAGAACTTGGAAAAACCTCGGCTGAGAACAATATGGAGAGACAGTGGATGAAAATAAACTCTATAGGTAGTCCTGAAATGTTACTCAACTGGCCGCGCACAAGCAAGAAACTGGGCTCCATCGGTCACCAGCAGGTCAGCGTTGTGAGTCCAGGTGAAGTTGATCTACTTCAAACAGAATACCCAGACTATCCAAGGCCGAAAGCTATGGGATCTGAGCTTTCTGGAATCGTAAGGAGTAGGATAAGTGGAAAAACAAAACCGAAGAACGGCGTCAAGAGAATTTAAGGTCTGAAATTCTGTGGAAGAAGTCGACTAGGAGCTGAAGATTGAAACCACAGAGGAGTAGAATCAGTGTTGTACGGGGTCAGCAGATTTTCACGGGATAACTCAGTTAGAATTTCTTTTGTGGTCACCTTGGAAGGCTAGTCAGATTTTCCCTGACTATACTTTAAAGTTAGATTATTCCATAAGAGAAGTGAGCTATACCTTCCATTTAAGGAGCTCACACTAAGATCTTTTCTAAAACTGGTGCCCGAGTAACGCTCGAATTGAAATGCTTTATCAGTTGTTAAAAATGCTTTTTTGACAATCCTTTAAACTATAAGTTATCAAGCGACAAAGTGAATTAATATAATCGACACAGTGAAATCTTCAAGTAACAGAAATCATTCTGTCATTGTGGAAGTAAAAGCACGTTCACTAATTTTACCCTTAATTATACAGCTTGAAGACTGTTCAATTACTATTCAACACTACAAAGAGCATAAAACGCGGAACGTTAACCCTGAATGTTACTACTTGAGCAATAGATAACGAATTAAAATGAAGCTTCCTCTAGTAATGCGATTGATATGAAGAGTTAGTCAATTATCATTGTATTTTAAGTTACCTTCTGACGATTGGCTTTCAAAGTCCATATAAAGTCTCTGACGTTGGCGAAAACTGTCAATAATTTCACCTCGATCTTGCTAATGAAGTTGTGAGGTTATTTTCGTTCTTCCTTATTGTGGCTCGTGTACTTTTGAAATCTGAAAAACAGAAGTTGTTCTCATCGCACTGGAAAATTTATAAATCTTCTTTGCCTTTCCATACCGCACCCCTCAGGTACCCATTCCTCTCTTGCATATAATTTCAACAACACTAAAACATTTCTCACGATGATTTCGTTGATATAATTCTACTGCGACTTTCTTTATTTTTATGAACTACAACGGACTACTACAGCAAAACGACTCAACATAATATAGCATCACTGTCAAGCTCCTACAGTCACAACTGTTCATGCTAATCTTCGGACCAAGATCTGTTTTCTATGTAACATAACATAACCAAAGTAAAGCGCGCGCTCTGATTGGTCAATTTAGCGTCCCCCATTTGCCCATGGGTGTACGCTGCTGACGTAAGCAAGATCTGTTTTCTATGTAACATTAAACAGTTACATTCACGGTAGACGGCCCTTTAATACCATGGCCTCAGCTAAATCAGAATGAATTTTTTCAGACACAAACCTTAACTTTGTAACAACGAAGAAAGGAAATTTCAATCAAAGCCTCATATTTGCGGCTAAAAAGTGATCAATTGTTTTTCGTTATATGAATAGTTAAACTTAAAGTTCTTAACGGTTAAAAATTAAACAAATTGGCCCCTAAGTTCTTATCACAACAATTATAATAATAATAATTAAGAGTAGCAGATGGCAACATTTTTCTTTGTTCCACTTTGGTTCTTGTGAGACTTCTGCAAGTACTTTAACATTAAACTGTGGACGTCACACAGACTTTTATCTGTCTTATCCAAAGTACTTTCCTTGAATTGTGTCATCTTAAACCTTCTAATATTGTTTTTTCGTGCATGGAAATTTCAACTGCCTTCTGAACAGGGCCCGCAAGGCAAGCGGTAGAGTCAGTGAAGAGAACAAGTGAAAAGATCGAGCCGAGCAAAGTGGTCGTATTCCCTGATTCAGCAGTCCGGGGAACTGACACCAGAAACATGCAGATCAAGGAATTTCATCCAAAAAATGGAAAAGGTAAATGGCTAGCTGTTCACATTCCTGACCATCTCAGCTATCCGCGGAAAAATGTGAAAATTATTGCTTCAAAAAAAGTCGCCAAGGAATTGCAGCATGTAGTAGGACCGAACAAGGATACCCT